TTCTAACAAAAAAAATACAGACTAATAATTTTAGGGCAGTTTCTCACCAGGGCTGCATACAGATCTCACCAGGGCTAAATACAGATCTCACCAGGCTGCGTTCACAATCTGGACGCAGCCTGGTGACATCTGGACTCCAGATCCCACCAGGCTGCATACAAATCTCACCAGGCTGCTTACAGAATCTGTATGCAGCCCTGGTGAGATCTGTACGCAGCCCTGGTGAGATCTGTACGAAGCCCTGGTGAGATCTGTACGAAGCCCTGGTGAGATCTGTACGCAGCCCTGGTGAGATCTGTACGCAGCCCTGGTGAGATCTGTACGCAGCCCTGGTGAGATCTGTACGCAGCCCTGGTGAGATCTGTACGTAGCCCTGGTGAGATCTGTACGTAGCCCTGGTGAGATCTGTACGTAGCCCTGGTGAGATCTGTACGTAGCCCTGGTGTGATCTGTAGTCCAGATCTGTATATTGCTGCCGCTGGAATCTCAGGTGGCTCCGGACAGCTGCAGCCGCTCAGCCTGTAAAAAGCAACGACAGACCGATAGAAGCTCAGGGGCGGATCCAATCTATTCTCGGGAGGGGCACTGCCAGAAAATAAAGTTTTGCTTACAGAACGGTCAATATTTGATATATATACCAATACCATCCGCTATCTTGGACTACAAAACCCAAAAATACATTAGACAGCAATGCAGAATACCACCAACTACAGAGGACAACAAATCTCAGCAATGCTGTATACAGCAATGCAGAGTAACACCAACTATAGAGGACTACAAGTCCCTGTAATGTATTATACAACAATGCAGAATATCATCAGCTATAGAGGACTACAAATCCCAGCAATACATTATACAGCAATGCAGAATACCACCATCTATAGACGACTACAAATCCCAGCAATACATTATACAGCAATGTAAAATACCACCAGCTAAACAGCACTACAAATCCCAGCAATACATTGTAGCAGGGGAGCCCATTAGGTTGATCGCAATCTACCTGTTATTCGCAAAGCTCTGATAGATCAGAATAGCAAGTTGGCTCGCTGTCCCAAGTTCCCTCCCGCGGTGCTAGTGCAGCTGAATGTATCAGACCCTGCAACATCTTACACATTTAGCTGCACTAGCACTGCGGGAGGACAGACCTGGATGGGCAGCAGGGCAGAGAGCCTGACACATATAAGAGAGGAGCCTGTGGAGGGAGAGCTGAAAGAAATGGTGGGCAGAGACAACCTGGGGAGGAGTTGGCAGGGGAGAGCAGCTGTCTTGGTAGAGTGTAGCCTGCTAGCAGGGAAAAGGACTTTGGATGCCAGGAGGGAACCCATTGGGCACCAGGAGAACCCTGAAGACACATGGTATGTACAAGCAGCAGCAGAGGCCAGAGGGGCTGCTCTGTGACTATGAGTGGGAGATAGAGATCACCAGAGACCCAAGAGGCCACCAGGGAAGACTGGTAGGTAGCAAGACATGGGGCTTTTAAAGTACTATGTGAAACAACAGAACATTATATCAAGCTAAAACTTTTTATTTTCACAGATTAAAAGAATATAATATACACATAAAGATTAAAACTAGTTTGAACTTTGTAAAGTAGGTTGACACATCTCCCATAAACCCACACACAGATATGTGATTAACAAATTGGTAATAAGTAGTGTTAGCTTTCACAGCAAAAATATTCCAAGTCCATCATATATATAGTTGTAATCAACATACATATAAGGAACTATATGTAGGATGGACTTGGAACAGCGAGCCGACTTGCAATCATGATCTCCCAGCGCAAGCTTTGCCAATGACTGGTAGATTGTGATCAACCTAATGGGCACCCCTGCTATAATGTATTGCTGGGACTTGTAGTCCTGTGCAACTGGTGGTATTTTGCATTGCTGTATAACGTTTATACAGCAGGGGTAGTGAATACAAATTCGAGGAGGTCCAGCGAGTCAAATTTTCATCGAGCCAAGATCCAAACCGCAGTCCGGAAAAAACGGTCACTCAGCCCGTGTCCATACTGAGGTCCCGCCATTTTGGCTGCATTCACAGCAGCAGCTACACTGCAACACACAGCTGCTGGTGTGTGTGTTCCTAACCCCGGCACATTGCACTGTTTATTTACATACACATGCCTATGTGCACATGTTCATTGGAAACAGGTGGCAGGGGCAGCAGGGTTGGGTTTAATTTTTTCTTATTTGTGTTTATTTTATTATTTTAATCACTTTTTTATTTGTGTTTATTTTAATCACTTTTTTACTTTCTTATCCCCTTTTTAAATGAACTTTGTTATCACGAAGGGGCTAACAAGCCCCCATGTGACAGCATTTGGAGGTGACAGGGTCTCTTTATGGAGACATCTGGGGTCTATTAGACCCCTGATGTTTCTCCTGCCCTTCAAAACAGACAATGAGCACAGGAAGAGTAGGTGCATTGCGCAGTACCAAACACTAATCGCATGGAAGCATTCGATTAACGCACGGGCCTGTCTGGTGGGAACGGGCCCAAAGACTAGTGGACGTGCTTATCTCTTTTAGCAGACCAGGGATGACCCTGATTAGCAGTGCTGCTCTCTGGGAGGATGACAGTGCACAATGATGTCACTATACAGAAAAGTCCCTCGTATAATGCATTCTGTACAGCCGTACACACAGCCCCAGCCTCCCTCACTAACTCCCCATTGTGCTGGACGGCGGGGGGACCCCTTGCGGACATGTTGTCAGCTCTGTGGGAAATTCACACCAATCTTGCCTTACTACTAGCCGCTGTCCTGGTCCCCAGAGAGCTTCACATCAGCACTTTGAAATCTTGTCATGTGACCCCTGTTAAACAGCAATGCAGAATCCTACCACCAGCTATACAGAACTACAAATTCTAGCAATACTTTATACAACAATGCAGAATACTATTAGCTTTGTATAATGTATTGCTGGGATTTGTAGTCCTGTATAGTTGGTGGTATTCAGCATTGCTGTGCAGTATAATCATTATACAGCAATGCTGAATACCACCAGCCCAGCTACAGTCCCCCAATCCCCCCAAGCCAGCCATCAACCATAGACTCCCCAACCTCACCTAACACCTGCAGCACTTCTTCTCCTGCGTCCTTGCTGGCTAGTGGAGGGGTCACAGGAGAGGGTCCTCACAATGATCCAAATAGCAGGATGTGGCTGCCTGGCGGTGCCTGCAGAGTCTCGTATCGGCTCTGCCAGGCTAACAGTTATCCTAAATGACAGGCAGTTGCATAGCTGTCTGTGTGCATCGGATCCCTGCACAGCCGCCGGCGCCCGTACATACAGCTGTCACTCAGTGTCACATACTTTACTGCAGTTCATTGTACAAAGTTGTTTGTACAATGAACAGTAGTTTGTGGCACTGAGTGACAGCTGTATGTATTTGTGTCACTACCACTGCGGGACCTGCGGGTGGCAGAGGCAAGGAGCGGGAGTTGGGAGCGGCACTAATCTCAGGGAGGGGGAGCAACTCCCCCGTTGCCCCTCCCTGGACCCGCCACTGTAGCAGCTGTCCTCCCGTGTACGGATGTGATTGTACATGGATTACCTGTGGTTTGAGACAGATGATCTTCCCAGGACACAACAGCTTGGATCCAGGGGTGGTCATGAGGCTCTAAGGCCTGGTCCACACCTGGGCATTTTACAGCACGTTCCTACGCTCTGTAAAACACCCAACATGTGAAAACCAATGATTGCCTATGGGCATGGTTCCCACCTGGGCGTTTTACAGCGCTTACGAACGTGCTGCAAAACACCCTACGCCCAAAGAAGTACAGGAGCTTCTTTGGGGCGTATTTGCCGCGTGTATCCACTGGGATACAGCCAGGTAGCCCTCGGAAACGCGCGTTTGTCACGGTAAAAACGCGCGGCAAACACGCATATTCGATACACCTAGGTGTGAACCCAGCCTTAGTCGAAGTGCGATAACCTTTGAGCAGAGGCAGACAGCTGCCGCAGCTATTCTTTTGTCATTGCTTTGTACAGGCTGAGCAGCCACAGCTGTCCAGAGCCACCCGAGATTCCAGCGGCAGCAATCCTCCTCCGGACACACAGCCTCGTGTGAATGAGACTCTAAATACATAAATATACAGAAAGAGTCACTTTGAATAACAGATTTCAGCATGCGCGTCTATGGTGGAGCCGTAGATCTCGAGCAGTTGCTCATAGTAACCAATCAGCTTCAGTTTGTTTTTGTTGCCCCCCCCCGATCCGCCAGCGCTGACTGGCGGAACGGACGGGGGAGGGTACAGCTGGCTCTGCCCCTAGATAGTCAGTCACGCAGCTGGGCGGATCCAGACACAATTGTCAGGATCCGCTTCAGCTGCGGCGTCTCAGTATACCGGGAGCTGTAGCTCGTGGTATACTGAGCCTAGGGTGACGGGAGGACGCTAGTTTGTGTCCTCCCGTTACCCTAAGGAGAACTATGGGGAAAAGCCTTAACCCCATAGTTCTCCTTTAAGAATTTAAATTGAGAAGGAAGCTGGTTGGTTGCCATGGGGACTGCTTCAGATTCTGTCTGCTCCAGTTTTGATAAATCCCCCTCTCAGTGTGTAGAATCAGTATCCGTTTCTTTTAATCAAAGTGTATTTCTAGCCAAAACTTTGTTTTTTTCAGTGTTGAGCGGAGTGTGGAAGGATTGTACCCCCGGTCAGGTTTTTATGGCTATCTGTGTCCCACAGGGGAGATTCACAGAAAGTGAGAGGAACTCCAAAATGTCACAGTCGTATGCCCGTGTCCACGCTGGGGCTTGTAGTCGTACAGCCGTGTCCTTGCTGGGGCTTGTAGGCGCACATCCGTGTCCATGCTGGGGCTTGTAGTCATACAGCCGTGTCCATGCTGGGGCTTGTAGTCATACAGCCGTGTCCATGCTGGGGCTTGTAGGTGCACGGACAGGTCTCTACTCTGTTCTCTCTTCTGCTGACTGTCCGCTATCCCGTCACCGAGATTGGCTGAGTCTCAGCTGTGACGTGTTTCCGCTTCCGGTGCCTCTCCTGACCAGTGAAGATGGCGTCCTCGATGCCGGAGGCCGAGGATTCTGGGGCTGACAGTGAGCTGCTGGCCTGCTGTGCCCGGGATGTGGCTCTGGTAGGTGTTCCCTCCGTGTACTGTGTCCCCTGTGTGCGACCCGGGGCCCCATCATCACCCCACCGATCCGTGTACCCTGCCAGGTTCTAGAAGGATCCCTGAACTACTCACTGTGTATCAAAGCCTTACTCACTGTTCCTCCTGTACTACAGAGTGTGTCTCCTCTCCTACCCACTGTATCACTTGTCCTACTCACTGCACCTCCTTTCCTACCCTAGGTACCACCTGTCCTACTTACTACAGCTCCTTTCTTATATGCCATCTGTCCTACTCACTGTACCTCTTCTTCCCACTGTACCATCTTTCCTACCCACTGTTCCATCTGTCCTACTTATCGCACCTCCTTGCCTACCCACTGTTCCATCTGTCCTACTTATCGCGCCTCCTTTCCTACCCACTGTACCATCTGCCCTACTTATCGCACCTCCTTTCATACCCACTGTACCATCTGCCCTACTTATTGCACCTCCTTTCCTACCCACTGTACCATCTGCCCTACTTATCGCACCTCCTTTCCTACCCACTGTACCATCTGTCCTATTTACTGCACCTCCTTTCCTACCCACTGTACCATCTGTCCTACTTACTGCACCTCCTTTCCTACTCACTGTACCATCTGTACTACTTATCACACCTCCTTTCCTACCCACTGTACCATCTGTCCTACTTATCACACCTCCTTTCCTACCCACTGTACCATCTGTCCTACTTATCACACCTCCTATCCTACCCACTGTACCATCTGTCCTACTTATCGCGCCTCCTTTCCTACCCACTGTACCATCTGTCCTACTTATCGCGCCTCCTTTCCTACCCACTGCACTCTCTGTCCTACGTTCTTCAGCCCCCGTCATACTTGCTGTCTGGCTTCTTGTTTTGCTCTGGCTGTCCCACTCGCCCCCTTATCTGCCCTGGTTTTTCTAATAACTGACCTGCCCACTCAGTCAGTAGAGCTGCTCTACTTATTGTAGAAATGGTTCTACCCACTGCACTTTCTACCTTACCTACTGCGTCATGTGTCCTATTTTCTGCTCTGACATACTCTGTGCAAAAACTCTCCTACCCACTGCACTGACTCACTACTGCTGCACTGCTTGCCCTACCTGCTGCAATGACTGCCCTATAAACTGTCACATGATTACCTTGCTGACCATCTTACCCACTGTACCCCCTGGCTCATTTATTGCAATGTCTGCCCTATTTACTGGACTGATTATCTTACCGGGTCACCTGCTGACCTACCCACTGCACCATCTCGCCTAGCCACGGTTCTGCTAATTCTCTGGGGCCCCTCTGACTACAATGTCATCACTTCCTGCGGCCAGACTGAAACAGCCCTTTGATCTTCTCTCTCTCCTCTTCATCATGGTCCTCCCCAGGTCTCTCTCTTTTAGGGTGTAGCCTCATCACTTATCATGCCGGATGATTGGGAGACTTCATGGCGGTGGGGAAGGAGGGGGGGGTGACAACATTGTGTCCTGCCCAGTCACTCGGGTACATACTCAAGGATACAACCCATTAGAGGCTGTAGTCTGAAGAAAGTTCAAACGCTGCTAACTTTATTCATCCGGACACTGGACAGAGTCAGCGCCTGGGACCTCTGACACATTTCACCGACAAGGCTGAGCTTAAAGACATTTTTTGTTATTAACCTTTGCATTGGGGCAACGCCGGCACTGCAAGGGTTAAGTGCTCGTTGCTAAAACACCAAAGTTATACTCACCCAAATCTCCGAGCCGTCCAGCCGTCGCAGAGCTCCCTCCAGCTTGTCGCCTCCTAAACCGCAGCATTGGAATCTTCTTCAGCGTCCTCACATCTTTGTACAGTGCGTTGGTTGTGATGATTTCCTGGACCTTAGACCGCTGCAGTGGAGGAGGAGAGACATTCCAGGGGGCCGGTCTAAGAAGAAGCCTGGAGACCAACTAGCAGTTAACCCTTGCAGTGCAGGGGCAGCCCTGCAATACTGCAGTTCTGCTTTAAAGTGTAGTTACACGTTTGCAGATAATTCTAGAAAACCCAACTATATGTTTTTATCCAATGCCTTATGTTGCCAAGAAATTCTGATTTTTATACGAAGGCATGGAGGGCAAATCCGTGGAATGAAGTATGAAGCCAGGTTCCCTTTACACTGATTTCAGGGGTCACCTTCCATACAAACAAAGATAGGAAATACAAAAAAAAGTCCATATATTCCCTAACAGGGCCTGATAGGGAACATCATGTCAGCTGTCACTAGAGGGGATACATCTGTATTGTAGGTCGTGAGACATCGGACACATGTCCTGTACATAGAAGTGAGACATCGGGCACATGTCCTGTACATAGACGTGAGACATCGGGCACATGTCCTGTACATAGACGTGAGACATCGGGCGCATGTCCGGTACGTAGACGTGAGACGTCGGGCACATGTCCGGTACGTAGACGTGAGACGTCGGGCACATGTCCGGTACGTAGACGTGAGACAAAAAAATGTTTTTTAACATAACCTAGGAAAAACCTTTTTTTTCTTGAAATTTCCGGGTACTTTTTTAATGAAACCGCAACTAACTAACCCCCCCCAGTGGTGATTAAATGCCACCAAATGAAAGCTCTGTCTGCCCCAAAAAATTGTATAAAATTAATTTCAGTACAGCGCTGCATGACGGAATAAATGTCAGTCAAAGTACTGCAGCACTGAATACTGAAAAATGGCCTGGACAGGAAGGGGGTGTAAACACCCGGTCAGCAAGTGGTTAATGTGGGTCCCTTGCAGACTGAAACCATCCATCTTGTGTCCTACTTTCCTGTGGGTCCCATGCGGACTAAGTCCACCCATCTTGTGTCCTACTTTCCTGTGGGTCCCATGCGGACTAAGTCCACCCATCTTGTGTCCTACTTTCCTGTGGGTCCCATGCGGACTAAGTCCACCCATCTTGTGTCCTACTTTCCTGTGGGTCCCATGCGGACTAAGTCCACCCATCTTGTGTCCTACTTTCCTGTGGGTCCCATGCGGACTAAGTCCACCCATCTTGTGTCCTACTTTCCTGTGGGTCCCATGCGGACTAAGTCCACCCATCTTGTGTCCTACTTTC